CTGAGGATGATCGGAGGGTGGTGAGGAATCGAGGATTCGAGTCTTCAGGCTATTATGGACAAACATGGCTACTCCTCCGCCATTCCGGCTTACCCGATCATGACGGAGGAGGGTGTGATTAGGCAAGGAAACAGAAGAGGAAGGGATGTAAGGTTTAAGCCAAGTTTCCGAGATTGCGATAATATGATAAAAGTTTTGAGTGAAATATTGCAGGAACTCGTCATAGTGGGCAGGGAGGGATTGAGAGTTAACATGACAGGTGATTAGGGTACTAGACATGAGAGGAATTGGGAGGGAAACAGTCAGAGTTTGGTAGAGAAACTCTAAAACAAATAGAAAATACAAAAAGGCGTTTACAATTAATGAAAATAGCAGAAAAGAAAGTGTAAGCAGGAACCAAAAGAAATAAAAAACATATGGTCAATAAAATATAAATTAGTGTGTAAGTGTGAAGAGATATCTCTATGCGTAGAAGTGAAAATGTTCCTTTGTAGATAATTGAGTTCAAAGTTATTTTAATGAGGATGAGGGGTAGACGAATTCTTCGTGGTCAGGCAAATATATCGAGGTCCGAGGCCTGTTCAATCAGAATAACTTTATGCCCGTCCTCCTTTCGACATCGCACCTTTCCAGCGGCAAACCACGTATATTTGATTTTCCCCGCAGCTCTCTTCTGTCGGGCGAGCCAATATAAGTGTCTGTTCGTGGGAGTCATTTCCTCACTCAGATATATCCGGTGACAGTCATTCTCCTGCCAGCCGATATCCCGAGTAGTGAGGTCTCTCTTGACTTTCCTCTTCGTTATTAAGTCGTCCCTGACTGACTGTTTGACAAAGCGCGCGATGACAGGCGGCGGTCGTGGGTCATCTTTTCTACTTCTGCGGCGATGTACTATGTCCAAGTCATCTGTACTGAGCCTGATGCCCAAACTTGCTCCAATGCAGGTCACCAAAGCGGCGGGCGTTTCACCAGTTCGCTCCGGTATCCCTCGGATCTCCAGTGATCTGGATAACAAGCCCTGCTCTGCGTTATTCAGGCGAACCTCCAATTCACCCACTCGAGATTTGAGGGCTTTATTTTCCAGAATAATTTTTTCGAAATTACTGGCTTGACTTTCGAGGTGTTTCTCAATTTTCGATAATTTTTCATTAAGCTCAAAATTGAGCTCTCCATATTTATCGAGGGTTGTTTTTATGTTTTTTATGTCTTCATTGACACTCGAGTCTAAGCGATTTACTGCCGCCAGTATTTCTGAGGCGGACGGCTCAGTGTTAGATTTTTTGGTCTGGTCACAATTAGGGCATACCCAAGTTTTTTTGTGTGCTTTTAAGGCTTCAATTTCTTTTTCACTTAGATTGAGACACCGACCGTGAAAAATAATTTTGCATTTTACACAACAAAGATTGTTTTTATCTTCGCGTGCAATAGTATTATTGCAAATATTACACTGCACCATATTTAATTAGAATAGAACAATTAAAATGTAAATAAATACCGGGAGAGAGTTGTTTTGATGAACGTAGTAAACAGTGTTGTCTAATGCTGTAGGGATTAGTAGACGTTTACACTCCCGGAGCTTCTAGAACTCAATTGGATTCACGACACTTTCTTTAAGTAGATAAAAGTGAATATATTACACTAATCACAGTGAATACTAATACTGTTAGAAGAAAAATACACTCAACTATAATGAACTGTACTGAACATTAAAATTTTAAAAAATCAGAACTGATAATATAAGAGAGTAATAGCGATGTGTACAGGTAGCTGTCTCTGGCCAGACATTTATTTATTAAAATAATTAAAACTTTTATATTATTTATATAAATCATATAAATACAAACCAATTACATTAATCATATTAATAGTTTAATTATAAGACTTAAATTAATTTACTTTATTGTCATTTGTTAACTCAATAAAAAAAAAAAAAAAATCGGATGACTTGTTTCTTTAGCAAACTCTTCAACACTATGGAACACTAGTAGTTCGCCCGTGTTCCGTAGGATACCCGCCTTACCGTTTCCGACTCAATCGTTATTCTTTCCGGTGAATCACTTATGAAAAAGATTCTTTGAGAGCAATCGATTCTCAATACACCTGCCATCACTAGTTAGCAATGCCCGTCTTAGGCATTTGTTGCCCCCTTGGCAAAGATGTCATCTCCCCCAAAAAACTTAATTTATTTCTTAAATTGTTTTATGTTACGTAATATTTGAATAGAACACTGGTGGCCATAAAAACCGGCTCGTCTTAAATTTTTTGTTAGTTTTATCCCAACAAAAAAAAATTGTAATTTTTTTACCTCAAAATAGTCTGCCATATTATGCTTACAGAATACCACAAATAAAGAGGAAAAACAACGAAAATTCAATTTAAAAAATCGCAATGTAAAGTAAAGCAAATAAATACTCTTTTAAACAAGAATAAAACTCATCTAATTCTTCATTAATTATGAAATCTGAGTCTCTAGTACCTGGTATTGCCTCCCGTTTTTTTAAATAATGGCCTGTACTCTAGTAGGCATTATACGAATAAGGTGTTTACACGATGTTGAATCTGATCTATTTCATGTACTTAGAAGTCACATGGAGGGTTCTATTGTCGACGGATGGACATCGTAGGTTGGTTCCGAAGATGCTGCATAGGGCGAATCCAATGTGCGGACACTAACCTCAAGGTAGTCCCGTACAAAATTGTTGATGTGTGGCCGAGCATTATTCTGCATAAAAAGAAAACAGAGGCCGATAACTGGGCCTAAAGTTAACACATATTCCTCGGGGATATCGGTGATGTACGTGTGTGCATTGAGTGTCGACCTTCGAAGCACATGGAGGTCTGTCCTGTACTCTTAAACATACCCGTAGTCCAACAGAAACTCTCAACTCCGACTTCGAACTGCACTCTTCCCGCTACATTGCACTGAGCTAATTGTCTACTTGCTGTTCTCAAAACTTGAACTCGTCCCTCTGCACCATGAAATGTCACTATAGTGATTTTTTTTTCCGGTGAAAAGTATACAATGCTCCTTGGCGAAAGCGTCACTGTGAAATCACATTTTACATGTTTAAACTTATATTAAAATAAAAATAGATTTTTTTTTTTGGCAGTGATAAATTTTATATTTGAGGGGAGAAAATATCTCTGGAATTCTTTGGTTTCTGTATACAGCCCAACAGAGAATATTTGAATTTATTTAATTTTTAATTCATTTTTTATTTATATTTCAAAAGTTAAATGAAAAACTTTCTCTTAATTCACATTCAGAAATATATGGCAATGAATGTTCAATTCATCCAAAGTTCAAAAAGTATTTTTAATAAATTTTGACGAATAACTATTATTTTAGAAATAATTATTTCATGATTATTCTTTAAATTGGTTAAATAAATGATCTCAGCAATGCCCAGATCCCTGGAGTGATAAGAGTTGAGATTTCACAGAGGCTACAGTGACAGTCACTGTTGGAGCATAGGGATTTCACAGCCCCAACAGTGATTGTAACTGTTGGAGTACAGTGATTTTGCATATTTTTTCTTGATTAGACCCATGATTATTTAAAAATTTACCAAATTCTCTAGGAATAAAAAAATTTGACCATTATTAACATAGATATAGTACATTAGATTTGGTATACATAATAATTTCCTCCTCTTCAAAGATAATGCATTCAATATTCTACTACCGTTTTTTATTATCTCATATATACTTTATTATTTCTTAAAGGCATTTTTTTTATAGTACATTTTTTATTTTTTAATAACTACAATCCTCTGATCAAGGCCTTTTTTAACATGAAAGGTAAAATACAGCATTTATAAATTGGCCCTAGAAAAGTAATTTGAACAAATATTTTGATCTATTATGTTAAATGAAATATTGTAATGAGATCTACTTATTTCTATATTATTTTGCTTTTCCTTCACTAAACAATATATTTTGCGAATTGTTCACACGGGCCAGCGAGTTAAATAATAAATAAAATACTGAAAGAGAAACTTTCTATTAATTATTTCAGAAATAACTCTTTAAAAAATACATGGCTTCATTGCAATGAATGCTTGTCATCCAAAGTTCAAGAAGTATGTATAATAAAATTTGAGGAATAACCATTATTTAAAAAATAATTATCCCTTTAATTCATTTATTAAATAAATTATGGCACTTTACATTTTACAAATAAACAGTCCCCAGATCGCTGGAGCAATATGAGTGATGAAGTGGAGTGATCAGAGCAGTGATTTAACAGCGCCTACAGTGAGCATCACTGTTGTAGCACAGTGATTTCACAGCTCTAACAGTGATCGTCACTGTTGGAGCACAGTGATTTCACAGTGCCCACAGTGACTGTCACTATGACAGAATTACAGCTCCGTCTATATGAGCCTATATGCCTCCCCCATCACTAGTTGGGCGTAGCAAGAGGGGGTCGGTAACCGATTGCATAGCGGAACTCAGCTCAGTCAGCAGCTTGTCTTGCATCGGTACTCTTCTTATACTCTGTATAACATTTTAAAAAAAGTATATATAGCATTTATGATATTTTTTAAAAATAGAAAAGTTGTCGGAGTTGAAAAGAAAAATTGAATATTTGTGTATAAAACCAATATTTTTCCATATACATTCGATTAAGAATTCTTCCACATCCATTGCATATTTTACACTGAACCAAATTAAATAATTTGAGTGGTTGTTTGATTTCTTATCCATCCAGTCTCCATAAAACTGTAAATATGTATATAAATTATTAGCTCATTCTTAATTTTTAATTTACATTTCCTCATTTTTTTTTTATTAATTTATTAAAGTCAGAAAGTAACTGAGACTTTTTTATTATGACTGTTTCTTCACTTTTTGATTATTGCTCATGTATCTCTAATGTTCCTTAGTCCAAATTTCTATCTTTTTGTATTATTCTAAAGGGACTCATCCCAGAATAAATAACTCAGTGATAATTAAGGGATTAAACTACGAGGACAATTAGGAGTCAAAAATACCATTATTAATTATGAAAACTAAATATATTTTACAATCAAGTCATAATTACAAAAGTATATACATTATAAACTATACATATAAATATTTACACATGTTTTAATTTAGACCCCACTAACAGCTTTATCTAACAAAGCTTGCAATGATATGGGATTCCAATTGGCTCCATTGTCACTGTAGAAGAGTACATTTCTGTCAATATAGATCTGTAGGAGTCCACATCTGTAAATTTGCTTCCCTTCTCGGTACCTGCAAACATTTTTATTTTTATTATTACAATTTTATTATTATTAGTATTAGTATTGAAAAATGCAACCAACAATTGTAAGAACTTTGGATATTCTTATAGCAAGTTTTCCAAACTTTAACATACTATAAAGGCATTAAACATTCGTGTGATAAGTGCTAGTAAATCATGTGTCGTTTTAAACTCAAATAATAACATAAAATTGTAGAATAATACTTACCGGTTAGGCAAAGGAAGAAAAACGATTCCTCTTTCTTCACATCGTTTCTGAACTAATTCCTTGAATCCTTCGATCATTTGAGAAGCAGTTCGAACAGCTTCAGCAATACCTTGCTGCATATTCTAGAATATTGTAAAAAAAATCAAATTTAAGAAATATAATAGGTAATTTTAAAAATTAAAAAAAAATCAAATAACCTAAAATTTTAAATAACTAGTAGGCCCGTGCGAAAAATTCGCACAGCATATTGATATCAAATACCAAATTAATAAGAAAAGAAAATAATTTAACGTATCAAAAGATAAAGGAATCAATTGTTACTTTATCCATAAATATAATCCACAAAGGAAACAAAATTAATTTAAATCTTCATTTTTCTTTGGAACCAACATATTTACAAATTTCAATAGGCTGTATCACTGCAAAAAATTGTCCAATTTCAATGATTTCTTTTTCTTTTAGTAGACAATTTAGTAACGTTTTATAAAATGATTGGAATAACCAAAGAAAAACAAAAGCGGAGAATACGATTCGCTAACCCCCCATGAAATTCTGAATCCAACGGTACCCCATTCATGGTATTTGAGCATGAAAGGAGCTTATATTTGGTACAAAACCGATTTCGAGCCTTACTGTAATAATATATGTACGGATGTACGGATAGGGTTAGGGATAGCATTGTTCTGTTGACTGCGTTGCCATAGGAATGCGGTTTGTCTTTCTATTTCATTTTCCCCTCTGCTATTCACTATATGATTCATAACTCCTCAGGATTTTCTCCTAATTCAATGTATCTATAATCATTGGAAAGCTGAGTTATTACTCTTCAATACCATATCAATAACTTTTAGATTTGACGCGTTTAAAAACAATAAATAAAGAAAAACTCTTCAAAGGTTTTTGTTTTATATCTCAAGTTCTATTATATTTACAGGGGTCTGGTTTGTGTCATTTCGTGTAGCTTATGTAGTCCTAACTTAATGTAAATTTTTGTGTGAATATGTGGAGTAATTTTTATTTTATCCCACTTTTTGTGATTTTCAAAAGAAGATCGAAGGAGGAAGCCTTGGTTCCTATTTGGTGCAAAAAAAATTTTTTTTATTTTTATGAAAATTCGTATTAGAGGCTTTATAGAGGTGCAAAATACAAATCTCAACTCTGTTTTCCCTTAAGAAAATATTTGAACCCACTTTCCTCCTTCGGTCAGTACAAATTATTTCATTGTCGTACTGATAATATAGCTATATGCCAAATATATAGTTATTTCCAAATAAAATGGGCTATAATAGAACTCTCCCAATGAATATTAATCGAAAATACGAAAAAATAAATAATAAAATGAAAAACAAAAAATATTGGAAAAATTTCTAATCGATTTCGATGATTTTTTTTTTTCCTTTTGTAGACAATTAGTAACATTTTATACAATCATGGGAATAGCCAAGGGAAAAGTGTGTAATTTTTTAGTTATTCGCAAATAAAGTTTCTTTTTTTTCATAACTTGTTTGCCTGAATTTTCAGGGTGATTGGAATATTTTTCCCGCCCGAAGGAGAAGGAAGCCTTCGAAATTGGTGGCTCAATCTTGAGATTTGGTGAAGAATTAACAATGATATGGCTTGCCGATCAAAAACACTATGGATAAATAATATAAACTCCTCCAGTCTCGATCATAGAGACCTCAAGTCGACGAAATGAGACATGTATCCAATGACAGTACTACAATTAACGTCAGGTTGTGTGGATGCGAACCCCATGCCTTGCGTTATCTCGAAAATAGTACGTTTTTGGGCTTAAAAACGCAGGATCCGATAGTTCCGGAGGAACTATCCGGGTCTTGGTGAAACGCATCAAAATCTTCAAGGTCCAATTTGTCCCGCATCGATCTACAGACCTACCGCCGTTCCAGTATTGAAGCCTAGCAAAATGTTTGTATCGACTTTATTTATTTTAGAAAGAAAAACAAAAGCGGAGAATTGCGATTCGCTAACCCCCCATGAAATTCTGAATCCAACGGTACCCCATTCATGGTATTTGACCATGACAGGAGCTTATATTTGGTACAAAACCGATTTCGAGCCTTACTGTAATAATATATTCAATGACATTGATAAAGAACTTAAAGGTTATAGAACATCAAAAGGTTCCCAAATTTAAGGTAAAAAAGTCTACAATGAAAGAACTGTAAAATATCAATTTTCTTATTTTGAATATGTTAGATTGACACATCATAACTTTTATAGAATACATATCTATTTTTGGAGTATTTTAAGGGGGTTTCAGATATCACTTACAGCCAAAGAATAATTTATATTACCGGGTCCAGCAAATAATAGATAACCTTTGCTATCCATCAATTCATCACCTTATAATAATTGCCAAAAGGACGAGACTAATAAACTGGTGGAAAACAAGAGAAGCGGCAGGTAAGAAACTTATCTTGGAGATTTCTTTCTTTTCCTTCACTAACGAACAAACTAATTGTGACTTTCATAGATTCTATATAGTCCAAAATACTTTTGTAAAAAAAAGAACTAACCTTCTTTTTACTATTCCTTCTCAAAGAGTATTCAGAATTATTTTTTTATCATACAAGAAAATAGCTTCAGATCATATGGCATGTACCAGGCCTACGTAAATCTATCTCAAGTATTTTCAGATTGTAGGATGCTTTTTAAATAAATAATAATGTTAAAAGCCTGTAGTAAAATATCATTGTCACATACACCAATTTAACATTATTTAGATAACTAATGTCAATTTATTATAAATTTGAAGTTTATTTTAATAACATAGTTAATAATTTGGTTGACTTAAATCTAAATAAATAGATTAATTTAAACTATAATAAATCATTTTTTTTTTTTTTTTACCGCATGAGTATGACATTACCTGATATCTAACATCAGAGTGTATGACGGGGGGTGGAGGTGGTTGGACCATTGGAGGTGGTGCTGCCATTGAACCACCTCCCACTGACCGGCTCATCATGTCTAAGGCAGTTCGCAGCTGATCTGAACATACAAATATGTTACATATTAATAAAACAAAAAAAATTCTATTCTATTATAATTTGAGAAAAAAAAATAATGCAATATTTTAACAAAAATCAAATTTGTAGTAACAAGGGGATCTTACAGTCAGTGGGTAACGAATTTCAACCAATTTTTTTTTGGTGATACTACATAAAAACACATTTCCCAATTTTTTTCCTGGTCATCAACTAAAGCATTCATAACTCCTCAGAGTTTCAAAAGCTGATTTACTGCTTTTATAACTGACATTAATAACTTTTGGATTTCATTCCTTTTTAAGCTAGAAAACTTTTCAAATATTTTTATTTTATATCCTTGGTTCTAACTTGTTCACAGATACCAGATTTGTGCATTTTGTGTAGCATAAAGAATCCCAAATCCCTAATTAGTTATGCGTGAATCGGTAGAGTTGTCACAATTTTTGTAGTTGTCGACAAAATTTCTAAGAGTCCATTTAATTTTTTGACAGCCATAAAAATTTGTATAAAGGGTTTTGGAGTGGCAGAAAACAAATATCAATTTTGTTACAACTTAAAAAAATACTTACCACCATAATGCTAAGTTGGTTGGATCAATTTGTTCAATAACCAATTTCAGTTTTGTATGATTTTTCATTCATGAGCTAGACTGTAAACATACACTCAGACCAGTATGCGAGACTTATTACCTGATTGTTGATTACTTACCTCTGATTTGTTGTTGGATTCAAGGGATCACAAAAGGTGTATTTCTGTTGAAAACATGGATTCAAAAATGTTCACGACCGTCAAAAAAAAAAGAAAAAAAAAAATTAGGAAATTATTTTTAAAATTTTATAAATTCCCTTTTACTTAGTAACTTTTTATTTCATTGTTATTTTATTTAATTGTTGGCAATACATAATTGGAACATTCTTTGACTCTCTACCAAGTGAACAAAATCTTTGGCTACTTCGGCGAAACTTTATGCAATAGTCTCAGCCCTCCACTTCTGTCAATAGCTCCGGTCACAATAGTCTTGATAACCGACTCCTTTAGTTCATTAAAAGGTTTTAACGAAATGTACTCAAAACATCCAGTTATCCTAAAAATGCAAAAATACCTTCAGTCTTAAAAATTTGGGAAAATCTGTTTGTTTTATATGGGTTCCCAGTCACGGCAGCCAAACAAGCACTCGCACAACCAGACCGAGGCACCCCTATCCTGACCCCTTCAGAAATGAGTTTTCCTCTCAAAAATGAAATATCCGATAGTTTGCAATCTATGTGGAACGAAAGTCCACCTAGCAAATTAAAAGTTGTTAAAAAATCAGTGAAGCCCTGGACCACATCAAACCACCCAAATCATAGAGAGGAGGTCACTGTGACAAGCAGAAGCAGTTGTATTCCCATTGTTGGTAAACTCTACCAACTGCTTGAGTCTACCAATTGAGATATTGAGTATACTAACTGCTTCCTGCAGTGCCACATGCCACGCTCTGATGAAGACCTGCAAGGTGGGTCGAAACGTCGGCATAACCATTAAAAATACTATTTTTTAAGGTTTAGTATTTATTTGACTGCCATCCCCTACCAACACCTTCTCATATTATATCACGGTCAACCATCTCTACATCATTATAAGTAGCCTATAATTTGGATAATTATTACCTGATTGTTGATTACTTACCTTTGATTTGTTGTTGGTCTCTTAACGCTGGAGGAATCAAAGACTTCCAACCTGAATACCATTCAGTCACCTGATCATAATTAGGAGCCATGTTAAGCCACATTGTGAGTACCTGCAGCCATTTTGGAAAGAACGACTTTTCAAGAACATCAGCCATGATTTGCGGCGGAATAACTTCAACCCAATCCATTACCCAATTCCAACTATCTATAAAAAAAATCAATAAATAAATAAAACTGATTATTAATATAATAAAAAAATTATTTTTCATAATACAACATAACTAAGCATATACCATAAAAAAAATAAATTATTTACCTAATGACTGTTGAGCTGGATTTATCACAAACTCTTGCAGGACATGAGCTAACTTAGGAATGATGTTATTGATCAAGAAAGTATCCAGTTCTTGCTGAGTGAAAACTGAAACCCACGGTTGTAACATCAAGCGAGCAGAATTGTCAGAGGGATGCCAACTTGTGAGTGCGGAAGCCAACTTCTGGCGAATGACAGGAAAAACTGATACCCTGAGTCTTTTGCCTATTAAAAGAAAATATTTTGTTACTAATTATGAATTATTAATTAATTATTTATGTAAATTGTAATCATACCAAGCTGGGGAAGCCATGGGTGGAGCCAGGTATGAACTGGAATAGTGTCAGTAAGAGGATTCCATTCATCAGCGGTATGCTGTATTCTTGGCATTATTAATTGTTGTAGAATATTATCGAGTATCCAAGGAGGAACCAGGGCGTGCCATGTCTGCAAGAGGTCTATCATTGGGTCAGGAACTTTAACATTCCAGGCACTAAAAATATTTGAATAAATCACACATTTCATATTAAGATGAAGATAATTTATACTTTTAATTAATAATATCTAGTTTATCCATGGTTAAACTATCATTTCTTTTTTTTTAATATTGTGACTAAAAAAAAGACAAAAGATTCATCAAATTCTACTTTTCTTCTTTGTTTACTTTTGTATGGCAGAAATTTCATGTTAAATAATGTCACAGAATTGATTGACTGTTTTTATGTAATACATAACCCGAATAACCCAAACTGACTTTTCCTTTTCTCTACAACTAGAAATTATAAACAACTGGTATGAAACAATCAAAAATATTAAAATATATTTATGGGTTTATATTGTCTCTTAATATGGACATTAAAAAATAAATGAACCTTCAGAACATCAGACAAAAAGATTTACAAGGATTTTAAGTGAGGTTATCTAAGGGCCCTTTCTTTATTTTCGTAAATTAAGCATAATTAAATAACAGATTAACATTAATTTATAGTCCCGGAATAATCTTCTAATAATAATTAAATAGGTTTGAAAATAAACAGAAGTCAGATGAAAACACTATCAGACGCTTGAGCTCATCAATAAAGATATAATCAATATTAAGTCACTTGTATAAAATAGTTTAATATAGAAATAGGTTACTGATTATCATCTGATTACTACTGAAATATTATTTTTTTTTTTTTTAATTTGTAACTACTAATAAGGTTGAAAAACAACAACTAAAAAAATAGCAAGTTTGTTTCTTCCCAACTCAAAGCAAATAACAAACAATGAAAACATAACTATTAAGATAAAAACCTTAGTTAACAAAATATTATAATTGTATTATTATAAAAAATAGTAAAATAGAAGAATTACTTGACCGCTATTCTTATGCAAGGCATCCAAGCATCCCACAGCAATCGATGGTATGGATCAAGAAGAGTTGGAGCAGCAGCAAGAGGCCCGGCCGACTGAGTTCTTTCAAAAATTTTTTTCCATCGTTGAAGGATAGGAATAGGTTTGTGTGGCTCGGAGAGTGGATCCCATGAGGCCAACTCTGTTTTCAACAATGGTCGAACCAATGACGGCGCTAATGAAGCTAGATCGTATATCATGTAATCGGTCATTTGCTTTTCCTATCAAAAAAATAAAACAGCAGTTGTTAAGAATAATTAACAAAAAATAATTGAGTTTGAATCATTATAAGTGAATAAAAATGTGTATGAATGAATTGTATAGGGATATATTTTAACATATAGAAGAGACTATATATTTTTAGGTAAACATCATATCTATTATTTGTAGCAACAAAACTAATACTCAAATTACACAGTTTTTCAGAAGACACATTTGAAGCGCTAAATTCATGTTTTTTATTCTTATTTAACATTTACTTGTTATACTATATGAATAAAATTGTTAAATTTAAGAAATAAATAGAAATAAAGTTTCAGTCAAATATAAGACAAAATTAACATATTATATGATTTGCTTATTGGGCTAAGAAATGACAAATCATATAAAACTCCAAATCATTCTAATGGTTCCTATGGTATTATCACAAAAATCATGATTTTTGAGTAATTACATTGTTGTGGTAAATTGGGTTGTGGAGTACGATAAAGTCGTTTTTCACTAAGATTCTCAACCAAAGCTTTGTCTAAGAAATTGTAGATTTTGGTTTTCAACCACCAGGGAAGATCACCCCAGATTTAATCACACTGACAACAACACTACAGCAAAATAGCAGGATACATTATATCTTTAGAAGAACAGTATATTTCCTGAAAACTGCTATAATTTAGTCAAAAGCTCTAACATAATGGGCCAATGTGGTTAGCTAACAAAATCCTTTTAGGTGGCTAAGTTTCTCGATAAAAGAGAGTTCATCCAAGAAATTTAACCATGTAAAAGGCTCTTCAGGAATTAAGAAACTTATTATAAATATCAAAATATTACTGATCAAATAATAACATTACATACTTATAACTATAAAAATAATGTTGAAAAAGATTTAAAATTCATAGAACATTATGTTCAATACTTAAACCATAAAATAAAACAAAATTTTAAGAATAATATTTATTTAAAAACTGAACCTGGAGTTCTTCATAAGCAGCCGCTATTTCATCAAGATTGAGATTAGCTTCAGTAGAAGTAAGTCTCTCCAGGACGTCCAGTATGTGCTGCAAGCCGCTGATCACAGTCTCTTCTTGAAGGGTTACTTTCTGCAAATTCACTACTTCATTTTCAAGGCTGACAACTCTATCTTCATTGTAACGCAAAGCTCGATCACTAGTAACTATATCCTAAAAAGACAATAGTAACATTAATACCACTTAATAATGTTATGCATGAAAACTTGAATGGAATAGACTATATATATATTATTAAATATAATAAAAAGATCAGGTTTTTAGTTTTTGAGATATTTTAATCCATATGCAAAAATACTTCAATTAATCAACTCCAGCCGACTTAACCTGAGCATTACACATCGGAAATCTGATGGTTCAATCTAATTACCTCTCCACAAAAAAATAGAAAACGTGCCTAAAGAAGTTGTCACTTCAAAAAAAAGAAGTAGAGATTTAATCCTAAAAACGACGATTCCAAAATTAAAGAAATGAGAATTCATCTGAGCACCATACAACAGCTCTATTGCCCGAAAATTACCAAAAATTCTTAAATTTTAAATTATAAAAATTCTATTAAAAAAGCTATAATCATTTTTAAAAAATAACCTGTTCACACATATCTACGAGAAGGTTCAAGTTATGCTGTAATTCGGGAAGCTGAAAGTTCTTGAATTCTTTTTCTTTCCTGATCTCCCACTCATCGGATGGCTTCTGAGTGCCTGATATTGCATGATATCCAGATAAAACTCTTTGCTCTGGTCCTGTCATGTCAATTACTTTTACTTTTGATAATTCACTGCAATAAAATTAACAATTTAGTAAAAACATAAATAAGATTAATACAAATAATAATGTAAAAAAACAAATCCAAAATTATTTTAATTTTCTTTAGGCACTTGATGGAAGAGACTGAGACACTAATTTATATCCTATAGTTTGTCATATTCCCCCATTTTATACTAAGTAAGACTACAAAAATTTATTTTTTAATAACAATTAGCAAGATAAAATCAATTGGTAGAAGCAAATAATGAACAATAACTTTTCATTAATAAAAACTAAGTTTAAATTATTAAACACTTTTTTTTCTCAAGCCTATTAACTACATTGAATATTGAACATATTTAATAAACCTAGTATAGATCTCAATACTACACAGAGAAGCATCCCACAATGGAATTGGTAATTATAATTCTTAACATTTTGAGATTGATTGAAGATTAAGGTATGAATATTCTTCACTAGTTTTACTTACTTTGGCATCAGAAAGATGTAACTTCTACTGAGTAAGTAACTCTGCAAAGTAAAATACCAGTGCTTAAGTATTCTGATTATTTAATACTGATAGGTAAAGAAACCACTAAATTAAACAAAATAAGGTAGATAAAACCCAGTAAAGGGTTCTTCTTCTTCTGTCTTGAGAGTCTTGAAGTAAATTCAGAAAAAACAAAACATGTGATTAGCAGTTGGTGATGGTTATGGGAATATCAAAGAAGTGAAGCCAAATTAATAGTAATTCAGGAGAAGAGAAGATCCTGGGAGGATTTTTGTTGGAAGCTGGAAGAAAATGCAAAGGGAACAAGGAAGTCTTTTACTGAATGCTCAAAGGAAAGAGGAATGACCGGCCAACTACCCTGAAAGGAATAAGCGATAAAAATGGGAACATTGTCTGGCATGAGGAGTGCATCATGGAAAGATGAGGCAAATAACAGAAAAGACTGTTGAGAAGGACAAAGACCTCTTCATCTCCAGAAGGCTTTTGACAGAGTGAAGAAAGAAGACATGAGCGAGGTGTAGACCGTGGAACAACCTTGGTGGTGATGAGCCACTATAAAAAGATGAGGAATGTAATCAAAACCAGAAACCACATTTCAAAAGAATTTGAGACAATATTGGGTATCCGACAGGGCTATAGCCTGAGTCCGTTGCTCTTCATCATGGTTCTAGACTTGGCAATAAGGAGGGCCAAGGAGAAAATTCCAGCTATCATGTGCATCTTACCAGATATTCCCTGTTGGTCTTCGCTGATGACCTCGTTTTACTAGTTGCCAATGAACGAGACCTCCAGCATAACATAAATGTTCTCCAAGAGAAATTATCCACAGTAAATATGAACATTAATTCAGAGAAGACTAAATGCATGAGAATTGGAAAGAAACCCTGAAGGATAATGAGGGTACTAAGGATTGAAGGACAGATTAAAGCAGATCGAGAATTTAAAATCTCTGAGAGCTCATCTCAATGAGTGTGGCTACATAGATGAAGAAGTGACCCAAAGAATTGGAGCGGCAGGGAAGATGTTCAGTATGGTCAGATGGGGTTTCCTGAGAAGAAGAGAGGTGTCAAAGCGGACCAAACTAGCCATCTATAAACTTACATTCCTTCCTATCCTGTCGTACTCTTCAGAATCATGGACTCCCACCCTCACCAAAAAACTCAGAAGTCAGATACAAGCCATGGAAATGAGGTATCTGTGCAAATAGAAAGAAAGACATGGAGAGATAGGATACGGAACGCTATCATACAGGCTAATCTCAACGTCAAACCGGCGGAGACCATTCTGGAGAAGCACAAACTAAGGTAATTTGGACATCTTCTTAGGATGGATCCAGACAGAAGTACCAGGAAGACTTACAAGACCCGCAGGGAAGGGAAAAGACCCAGCGGAAGGCCTCGCATCTTCTGGGAGGACAGTGTAAAGAAGGCATACAGGAAGCGTGGAATGGATTGGAATAGGAGATTAGAGTTGGTGCAGCAGAGAGACGGCTGGGCCAGACACGAAACGGCAGTAGAAGAGGGAATGACTTTGATGATGATGAGATATAACAAGAAATCACACTTGACAAATTAATTACTTGTTCCTTCTTAGTAGAATCTTAAAAGTTATAATTAAAAAAAAACTGTTATGCTTCCAAATGTTCATAATCTGGCTGCTTATACTAAGAGAAAAACAATGTTTATAAATATTTGAAAAAAAAGTTTTACGAAGGATTTTTGAAATGGAATTTGCTCTAACAGAATGCTTAACTGTGTAGATTGTAGCATGTGAATATAGAGGTGATGGATCAAGACAGCTAAAAAATATTACAATAAATATTAATAGCTTACTTAAACTCTCTTTTCCTGACGGGTTGATAATTTTGGTCTAAAACATCCTCAATACTTTTGTAGACATATTTTGTTTTCTTTGGCTTACTATCTCCACTCTTCCTCCACTGAGAAATTTTGTCTCCATCTTTACTTTCAGATTTTGCTTCTGGTTTGATATCTGCTATCTTCTGGGCCTTTTCAGGACCATACGCCCCTGGATTGTAAGTTTTAATTAAAGATTTGATATATTTAATTATATATGTGATATTAACCAAATACAAATTTTTTACAGAGAAAGAACAGGACAAACCTATAGCACCGCGTCCTTTACGAAGATTAGCTTCAATAGGAGCCTGGATACCTTGAAGATCTTTACCTAAACCTTTTCCTGGTTGATAACCCATCTGAAATAGTAAATAATAAAATTGAATAAATATTAAAAAGTATAATCTAAGATATTATATTATCTTACACATTTTACAGTTATCAAATTTACAAATTATTGATGGAATAAGTAACTAGGAAAATGTTCTATCATAATTAAGATGATTCAGTTTATCTTTTAAGAATAATTCTAACAAATAATGGTCAAAATTACTTTATTTTTCATTATTTTTGTAAAATAGAAAAATGAAGCAGAAAGAATGATTTTTATTTTCAAAGGGAACCCAGAGAAGTTTTTGTAGACAACTCAGGACATGACTGGATTTATAATTTATCAGTAAATGTATATAAGAATTTGAAAATTATGAGATCAAGATATATGCTGATCTGGTTGTAGAATGAACTCTGGTTAGACAAATATCTCCTAATACTACTAGGCCAATTAATCTTTTAAATAGTTGTAACAACTATGAGTATTGCTGTATCGTGTGAAAAGTTATTGGGTCCAATTTGATGAATGGTGGGGCAGATCAGATAAGATCTAAAAGATAAAATTTAATCCTTAATAATAAATACTAAAATTCATTTGTTAAGAGTAAAAAGTAAGGTGGCCCCACTTAAGGTTCGATCAGTGCCTCGTTGTGAATTAAACGCTGCTCTTCTTGCCTCCAGACTACTTGCGTGTATTGTTTTTTGTTTTTTTAGGTTGGCTCTACAGACCATAATGATCTTTGAACGTGAGATGTGGTCTCCTAGACCACATCCCGATTCCCAATTGAAGTACACAGGGGTAGGGTCATCAGCCCAACACCCAGTCGGTGTGCGTTGCCTCCAGTAGGCTGGGGGATCCCAGGCAGCGTGGCTTACCCTGGTGTGCGGTCACCCATCCAATTGCTAACCACACTCGGCGTTGCTTAACTTTGATAACCTATTGCAAGCGCCTTAGCCCGCATGGCTACCCCAGCCTCTATTGTGCGTATTGATAATCTAAAAAGTCGTTTGCATATTAATGAGATTGTTTTTCAGATTCTTGTAACATATTCTATTGGCTACTGACACCGCCTCATGAACTTAAGATTTATGTTGCCAATCGCATAGTTCAGATTTTAGAATAACAGAACCCAGTTGTTGGCACTATATTGCTACAAAATAGAATTCAGCTGATTGTTTATCAAGAGGTCTCACACCACACCAGATACTTTCCCATGAGCTTTATTGGAACAGCCTTTATTTCGTTACCTGCATCTGACTGGCCTATATACAATATTGAACCTCTGTCCATTCTTCCTAAAGTAAAAACAATATTGCTCTGTTAGTGGCTAAAAACCTAAAAATTTGTTGATTTGCCTCAAAAAATAATAGAGCCTTTTAAAGCTGCAAAGGGTTTTTCTCCATACGATAACCGGAGAGAACTGCTTACAGAAACTGGTCAACCAATATCCAATGATCAGAGTATTAACACATGGAGAAGAAAGACCAATGAAGAATAGCTTACAGAAACTGGTCACCCAATATCCAGTGATATGAAGGCACGGTAAGATGGGCAGGGTATGTAGGTAGTAGCAATCCATCTGGAATCATCTATGTATCAATAAATACTCAATAGAAGCCAAAGACCACGTGGAAAGCCAAGAAGTAGTTGGATAGATAGAATCGACAAAGATGCAAGATATATGCATGCAGATAAATGGAAAGAAATAGCCCAAGAAAGGCAGGGATAGAGCAGGCTTGTTAAGGCGGTACCGTGTGCACACGTAATGCCAAAAGAAAAAAAATACCTGCTAGGTAACCAAGAAGAAAACCTTGTAATTCACATAGTAAAAATAGTACTGGAACTCACCTGGAGATGAAATACTATGCAAGGACAAAAAATAGTCAGTAGATAAATGGATGCCTTGGAAATAAATTTGAATCTCAAAATGTAATAACATAGATAAATAAAGTCTTAAGAAATTACCTGTAGTAAAAGCTTAGCACCAATGCCTTTAGTATGTCTTTCCCATGTTCCAACGCCTCTTTGTGATAGAAGTGGATTATATTTAGTCTTAGTTTTCTTTCTTAAACCAGCTATCTCATCGGTAATTGATGACAGAATGTCACCCTTGAAGGATGACATACGAGGTTCATCATCACTGAAAAAAAAATGTAAATAAGTTATATATGTAATGAGCAAAAATAGTTATAAGTAGTTTTCTTGCTATGTTAATGTTATTTCAAGGTTTTTTTTTAATATCAATCTTACTATTAGTATGAAAAATTCTTTAAGTATAAACAAGTTATTTTTGTCTTAATACTTATAAAGATAACTTTATCTATATTTGAACTTTATCTAAGAATAATATTTAATGAAATAATGTAGGTTTATGACATAAATTTGATACAGAGATTTTTTTTTCCAGTGAAATAGACCAAGATGTAAATAAAGTCTTTCCATTTTGTTGGGGGAGCGATGGACAAAAATAAAAATAAATTAAAAAAATGGAATTCATATTATTTGCTGGGATTCAATATTCAACATAATTATTATGAAACAAACAAATATAATATTCCTTCTCCTGCAGAAAGACCTTTTTCAGGCATAATATTAAGAGGGATGGCTTGTCGCATTTAACAGCAAACATTTGGGAGAAGATTTGTGAAGATTGCAGAAGATGGAAGATAATCCTCCAGGAAGATACATCGGAACAATGGAACGGCCCACATTGAGAAAGTTCTTTCCCACTGTAGCATTGTGCCTAAAAAAGACACGGGTCCTCCCGGACTACTCGGTCTCACAGATCCTGATAGGGCATATGGATTTTAGAGCGAAACTTTTTAAACATAGTAAAAATATCGATCCATCATACCCCATTTGTAGAGTAACAGAAACTGATGAGCAAATCCTTGTAGCCTGCATTAACTATGATGCACTGAGGGCCAAATTGATGAGGGTGAAAGGGCTCTACATTTTAATAGAAAGCAACTTCCCTCAACTGATGTCTCAACGAAACTACCGGCACTTTTAAAAGCTTTGTATGTGAATGGAAAGAAGCTGTGGGCCCAACCCACTTATCCTTGGGTAGGTGTGAAGAAAGATTACGTGAAAGGACGCCAAACAGGAGAAGATGGAGGAAGAATAAATTAGAAAGAAAAATGAATCAAGCAGCCTGTGTGCACAGAAATTTATCACAATGTAAAAATTTAAACTTGCGGCAGTGATTTGTTATACAGGAATCTGTATCAAGTCACTGCTGCTAACTCCCATATTGCCTTAAAGGCAGGGTAGATAGGAAAATAAAATATAATACTGAATGTTTAAAAATGAATTTACATAAATGTATAGCTGAAGATTTTTTTTTTTTTTTTGTTTTATTCATAAGGATATACCTGAAAATTTCTAAACAAAACAATTGGATGGATTCCATAATTGAATACATTAAACATGGAAGAGAAAAGGGGGAGAAATAGTATCCATAGGAACATTTCTAGAACTTTTTGAGCTAAAAATGAAAAATATTTTTGATTTCTGTGTACAATTTTTTACAACCTCAAAGTAAAAATACATTTACATATCTCATTAATTATAAAAAAATAATTGGGTGTAAAAAAAATAAAAGACCCTTTTTCAACCAAATATTTGTATTATTATTTCTTTGATATAAAATACAATTAATACTCAATGTATATTCCATTTTTATCTACCGTCATTAGCCATCTGCTGGTCAATTGCTCCATCCCACGCTGATACCATTTTTTGGGATAGCTGTCAAAGAACTCTTGGACATTAATTTCAACTTCCGCAAAATTATCAATTTTTTTCCCTTGAAGAAAATGGGTCATGGATCTAAATAAGTAATAATCTGATGATAGGAGGTCTAGGCTATATGGTGAATGTGGCAGAAGTTTTTCAATAAATTTTCACAAATTTCTAACCTCTTAGTTGATTGCTGAGTAATAAGTTCATGATGGACTAATCTACTGCTCTTTTTCAGCTTCCCCATGGAGAGTAGATGGCGACTAACACTATCTTTCGACACACCACACTCCTTGTCAAGTTCATGAGTACTTGTGGACGGATTTGAGTCAACCCCTTCCTGCATAACCTCATCAATATCCATTAATGGTCTCCCGGAACCCTTCTTCCTTTCCAACGTCATAGCTCCACTGCTAAATTTTTCAAGCCAATCCCGGGCAGTGCGCTGGTTCATACCTTCCCCTTCATATTTAATAATTTCATGAGTTACTTCAGCGGCTGTGAATTTTTTTTTTCTAGTAATGATGATTTCTAGTCGTAAAATTGAGAGAATTCCGTAGGGCACTGTCATGTTTCTTCTTTGAAACAAAAAACTAAACTGAGACTTATTTTAAAAAAGTCGAATGGAATTAAACAAGCTTAGAGAATGTTCAAAAACGATACTTATGTATTGGTAAGTATTAAATATGATTAAAATATCCTTTAAACCTTGAATTTGATAAAATGGTCATTTTTTTTATACATATTAAATGTCTATAAAATATATTTATACTTATACTTATTAAATATATTTTTTCAATATTGGTGCAAAAAATGTGATAATCTTATATCACATGAAAAGGGAGGGGTGTACATGATTGGTGAATGAAATATAAAATCCAAGAAAATGTTACTATAAATTATTATCCCTAAATATACATGAAAATTGAATATTTAGGTTGTGGTAAAATATTATTTATTTTTATTTTATTTTCAACCCTCCCCTGCCTGAAGGCAATACAGGTATTTGCAGTAGTGGGATGTTACTGTTACATAACAACCCACTGCTGCATTTTTGGCTATTACATTGGTTGTGGTAAAATATGATTAAAATATTTTGGCTATTACATTGGTTGTGGTAAAATACTTGAATGTTTACTTAACCGCTATTTTGAGGCGAACTGATATTCTTAAATGTTTTTATTAGCAGGAAGATCGCTCCCCTTGACTCCCTTAAGTCTTTGTTGGTATATCTGTGTAGTTTGTTATGAAATTTTTTATATGAAGTCCGAATGTGATCTTATAACATGGATATGTTTAAGTCATTTTAGCTATCATGTAAATATGTGAAGCTTAAGTTCATATGGATTATAGTAAATAGGTGTAAGCATTTAGTTCATGTCCCATTTTTAAAGATCTTTTATGTCCTGAATGTTGAAAACTCTTCATAAAATAATACCTAAGAAAGAAGCAGTAAGGACAGACAATATAAGTTGACAATGTCTGAACGAATAGTTCATACACATGTCTTTTTTTAAGACTTTAATACTTACTTAATGTTTAGGTAACCCACTATAATATATATTTATATTAGAAAAATGAAAATAACATGGGAAAAATAGGTAAAACCGAGTTTATACATGAACAAAACTGATTACTTTATCACATATTTTAAAAAACATAATAATACATATCAATATTATCATAGTTCATCCAGTAGCCTCATCATATTCCCTTTTCATAATCTTCGCTAGGAGAAAATTTTAAATTATTTAAATAGAAAATAGAAAAATTATTATAATTTCCAGTGAGTGAGGCAAGACTCCAAGATTTATATTTAAATCCATTACTTTTTTCTTTTTAATTAAAAGGCTTTAAATTAATTTAAAAAATTCCCTACCTAGAACTTGACCCATGAAGATGAATTTTTGCATCTGGATCATTATCATCATCGTCATCATCCTCTTTTTTTTCTTCTTTCTTACCTGCTTGTTGTACTCCTCCAGCCACAAAACCAATAGGAGCCGTGTAATTCTTTGGTTTTCTAGATCCCTTAAAGGAAGGTCTGTCTCCTTCATTATCGCTGTCTTCATCTCTAGCCCATATTCCTAACAGAAAATACTTTATAAGGATAATTTTCCAACTGTGCTAATTCATATTAAAAACAAATAAATCTTAGGGCATTTAATTTAATAAATATGTTCCAAAACTTAGCTAGTAAGCTTTGGGTATTAGTATTGTTTTAGTTCATCAAATTTTAAACATAGTATAACTGGGATAAAATATGAATAGATAAATCTTAGAAATAAAAACCATGAACATATATAACAATAAAAAGAGCTTAAGTATAGAATGTACTTGGTAAAATTTTTGCATTGAAATTTAATTCAATTCCAGTGTTACAATAAGACTGGGGTTTTCAATGTTTTATCCAAAAATGCATCTAACATATTAGGCCCTTGATTAAGTTCTTGCTTTTTTTAACAGGTGGCAGCATCATTACTATGTGCACAGGGATCATGATGGCCGATAGTTTGCCCATTTTAGGTGTTAGTATTCCATGGAACTGGATCTTCCCACTCTGGTTATTATAGGTTTGGTTGTACCTATAGAACAACCTCTTTACCCCCTCCCCTCCTATATGCTAGAAATAGTGAGTAGGGGTAATCCAATAAAAAAAAAAATGATGACACATTTTTCCAAGAACTACAGTCTTAGAATTAGGAATTATCCTGAAGCAAGAACTTTGGTTGCTATATGAGTTTTTTGCATTTTATTATGGATGAAGAATGGATACAGTATGATAATCCTAAGCTTAAAAAATCGTAGGGTAAGACCAGCCAAATATCCATGGTTTGAAGCTTTTCTGCATTAGGTGGGATCAGCATGGTTCAATTTCATTAAGACCTGCTCAATCTGAATCTGAATCACCGGGAGACTGCTACAGACTATACGAGCAGAAACACAACAAGATGATTTTATTACATGACAATGCCTGGCCATATGTTGCAAAACCAGTAAAAACCTCCTAAGAAACACTTAAAAGATAAGTCGTTTTTACGATATAGAATTCATATACTACCAGAAAGTTGGGCTATTGATGGGCAATACTTGAGAATAGTGACACGTTTTACTTAGAAAAACAGCAAGTATATTTTAATTTTCACAAAAAAACAGAAAAAAAACGTAATCAAAGTTCTAATAATAATAAGGAAAAAGATGAAAATTGGCATTTTTTTTTTTTTCCAGTTGTGAAAAATAACTTAATTTTTTTCAAGGAAAACAAAACGTCATCATACTTAAAAAATTGTCCACACTTTGTAGTTTAGGCACATAGGTTACTATATTGCGGTAAGTTGCCCATTCAAGGCCATTAACGAGGAGGGAAGTAAGAGCAAGATATTCAACTATCATTATGTAAGATTCTAACCATGCCAAAAATATGAAATGGCAGGATTACTACTTCATTTGTTTGTTTTGAGATCATTATGTTTTTTGTTTGATTCAATTGTAGTTTTGACACTCAGTATTTATACTCTTCAAAAAGTAAATTTTCCTTATTAAATCATTCGAGAACTGATAATGGAGGTGTTATAATGAATGTTGTTGGTAAGCTTTTACCAAGTCTTGGAAAATAAAAATTTTTGAAGTTTATTCTATGATAAAATAAAGAGCTCCTATATTTTCCCTATTATGACAAATAAAAAGTCTTTAAATCACTTCTTGATTCTTGACGTGGAAACACATTTTATGATTAAACAAAGTTTTAGTAACAATCTCAGTTCTTGAAAGGAAATGGTGAGCCTCTGATTAATATTGAAACTAAACAATTTATGTAATTTGCTAGTTAATTATTTTCCTATAATAAAAAAATATTTTTATTTTGGTTATGATTTGATTCAGTTTATGTAAATTCACTTTTTCTTCTTGAAAACGTTCAAGTCTGAGTTGTATATTTTTAACTGATCTCCTCTCAGTGTTGCGAATGAAAAACTGGTATCTAAAAATTTTGGCCAATCGCTTTATCACTATTATTATATAGCTGAAACTAGAATAAATGTAAGATGTAGTCCAATATAAGCAATTGTCCACCATATTATCATGATTAAATAATTAAAAATTATATAATGTAATGATTAAGACTATATAGTGTTTCTAATTTTAACGTTAATTACTTAATCCTATGTGGGTTAAGAGTTCTTTTAGGCATTAATTTAAAGACCAAGCCTTTTTATAAGCATTATTAACAAAGTTACTCTATTTACAACTTTACGTACGACAAACTACTTACTGGGTCACTTTATCTATAAGCACTGGCCACAAATAATATCTAATGGACAATGACATATAGGCTCTAACATAAAAATCCCTCAAATTAGACTTTATACTGAATTAACAAAAGTTAATAAAATATGAAAATGAAAATAATAAAATAATTTAAAAGAAGATTACCTTTACCATGTCAGGAAAATAAGAATGTTAAATTTACCAATAATCAATATTCATGATTTATGAATACATTTTTTACTAATTCCACAATGGAAATCTAAAATTTGTTCAGTGTAATGGGACAAAATATTATGTGAACAAGTTAATGAATACTTATTAATTACAAAATATGTGTGCCTTAGAAACTCAGAAATGGTTTTTATATTATATTATAGAGTGCTTAAAGTATGAAATCAGTTATCAAAATTTTATTTACAATGCGCTAATTTAAAATATTCACAAACTTCTTATTTTATTCACAATCAGGCATCAAATATTAACCATAAAGTTATCAAACAAAGAGTAACTTAAGGAATCCTGACAGTAACCAACTCATGATATAAAGAAATGTTGCTCGAAGGCATCTGTATCAAAATATAATTGAAATAGTTGTTTGTGAGAGACCACCTACAAGATCTGAAACCGAGTTGATTCACTGCACTAATAATAAACCAAAATAAACAAAAAATCACGTATGTATTTTAAATAAGTTAAATCTTATGCTAAAATTTAATATTTAGACCTCTATAAAACAATTTACGAATATAGACAGATGGAAATTGAATGTATACAGTGAAGTGACACTAACACTTTCATGTGTACCATGAAATTAATTCATTTAAATATCAAAGATATGAATATGTTTGAACAATCTTTTGACATTATGATTCTAAACAGCAAAAATAGTTAAACTTGATATGATCTAAATATGACAATATCATCATATCATAAACTAAAGTATTTACCGTAAATTTGCTGATTTTTAGAAATTCTTCTTGGTCGGTTAATATTAAATTCATTTTCCAGATCATAATCGGTTATTTCGAAGGCTTCATATTCATTATCGGACATTTTAGTCAAAGATTAGATTTTAAATTAAACTTCTTCGTGAAAAACAAACAATTATAACCTAACCATGCACAAGCGTAACATAACCTTCTAGTTCAAATATCGATTATAAAAATTGAGTATACTTGGATATCGTATCAATGTGCAATTAAATATATATTGTTCGATCTAATTTGGGATTTTTGGGCCTAGTTCTTATTTTTATTAATATTATTATATCAATTAATTTCATTGGTTTGTCATGGATGCCAATTCTATGCTGTTAAAAAAGTCCCCCCTCTTAAGCTCTCTAACTTGTCCGGTGTGGTCGTTAGCTGAAGTTATAGTTTTGGCTTATATTACCTGCATTTATATGAAGTTATAGAAATTGTAAAAAATATAAGATTTAAGAAAGATTATTTTTACAAATTAAGTTAGAAATCTCAAATGGGTTTCTGTTTATAACAACTCCAATTTATTGGTGGAACACAAAGTACTTTTACCGAAAAATAATAAAAAATTTCTAAAATAACATTTACATTATTTTTAAGGACCATTTGGAAATGATCTGGCGTGAAATTATGATTGTGATGAAGATACTAAAATTATGGACACAATAAAAAAAATTCTTTTCACTGCACATAGCCAACTAGAAAAAATCAGTTTTATGATTACTTAAATAACATCTCAAAAAAAGAAGAAAAATTCTTGCGTTATGTTTGGGTACAAGTACATTACAGTAGGTGGTCTCCTAATTATAAGCTCAATTTTGCAGTAGATATCTACATTCATTAAGTTTAAGATGACCATCGTCTAGAACAGGCCTGTATCTAATATGAAATTTCTTAATGAACAAATAAGACGATTTAGAAAAAAAATAACAGTAAAAATTCGAAGGTAAAGCTAGAAAACTATAGGAATAGCTAGAGCTGACGGGCAGAAATAAGTTGGAAGCGCCATCTGAAGGCTTCAGACAATTAGATATTAACTTGAAAAAAAATTAGGCAGCTTTAGAACTCGAGTATCAGAGAACGTATTGAGAATTCACTATTTCAAATAATTAAAAAAAAGGTTTATATCTACTTAAAAATCTGGAACAGCGGTGCGTCTAGGAGCTGTGGTGGGAATTGGGATTGTCGCTTGAGTTCACTGTAGCATGTCATTTATGGCTACCAAACACGATACTCTCACCTCTACTTTATAAACATGCATTTATAAAAGCTAATAAAGTACATTTTGAACTAAATATTTTTATTCAGAATTCGGCAGCGTCAGAGAAAAGAGGGAAAGATATTTATAAAACGTATAAGACAACCGATAGAACGGAGCAGAGGTCTACAATTTGTTTGGCCCACGGGCGACACTGTGATCTCCACTAAGTACCGCGGGCCATGCCTTGGAATGAAAAGAAAAAACGCGATCTATAAAATTTATATTTATAGTATAAATGACTTAGTTGTGAAATTAGATCCATAAGAGAAACAACTCATGCAACAAATGTTGTACTAACCTCGTGTTTAAATGATATACTAAATTTCATATTTTTAAAAGTTTACCATGTAATCATAGAAACTTTCGCGAGCCGAATTGTTGGTTGATGAGGGCCGTGGTTTGGAAATCCCTGGCATGAGCTAGAAATCCATGACGTAGTTGTATATACACGATCGTTACGTAGCTCCGTTTCCACCAATTTCCTTTAATACTAATTTTCTTAAATCTCAGATTCATCTTATATCAAACGTATGTATATATTATTTTTTAATTCTTTATTATTTTCTCAAAAGTGTATACGAGTATATCAGTGCAAATAGCTTAAGTGCCTTGTCATAGTATTAATTGTTTCGTATATAGTTTCGTTTTTTTTTTTATATATAGACTATTTACCTTATATTTTTTTTTACATTATTTCTTTTTTTAGATTGATTTTATTTTGGCCAGATGTGATCTTTTAATTTTGTTCTATTTTGTTATTCTCAAGGGACTGTGTCCCAGAATAAAATTATTTTTCTATCTACCAATCTATCTATGTAGCTTTTTTTACTTTCCTACCTATACTAATAAAGGAAAGTATTGCAATCGGGTCAAATTTCCGATATGCGGTTTTTGACGAATCTATATGTTCAGAGCTCCCTGATTTCGAAAAACACATTTTTAGCCATTGGTCTGTCTGTCTGTCTGTGCCAAGATTTTCTTGGGAACTAGTTAACTGATTGAGTTGCTTCTTTTTTTATTTTGTAGGATTTTGAATACTGACGCCTGTGACATAAATCGGATGCTCCATGCGCAATAAATGAAAAACATGTTTTTCTATAGACTGTAGCGCAAAAACGGCTCTAACGATTTTGATGAAACTTTCCTATAATATTCTAATAATTGTCTTTTCAATTTTCGCATATGGACTAAATTCCGGAGAAGAAAAATGTTTTGGGGCCTAAATCGCTAAGTATATATTCTATGGTAAAATTTGTGATAAAACTTTTGAAAGGTAATTAAATTACTAACAAAACAAAAAAAAATCATCGGAATCGAATCACTATTAGCTGTGATACAGCATATTCTATGTTAATTTATTACTTTCCTGCCTGTACTATGCAAGGAAAGTTTGCAATCGGATAAAATTTCCGATATGCGGTTTTTGACGGATCTATACGTTTTGGAGGCCCTTGATTTCGAAAACACATTTTAACAGAAATTATTTCCTCTACTTTTAACAGAAATTATTGTTTGACGAAATCAGGCTATGGCAAAAAGTTTTTAATCAGCAATATTAGAGAGTATTGAAATTTTTACTCTGATCTACCTTAAGCCGGTTTACATTGCTTTAGTTTATCAAATAAATCGTACTCAAATCTTTTCTTTGACACATTTTCAGGAAAATAAATCTAATTAAATTTTCTTTTTGTTTCATGATGGACATATGTAAAGATATCAACAATTTTCTGAAATAGGTAGGAAAGTCGTGTGAGAGGACACACAAGATTTTTGTCTTAAATATGAACTCGTAAAACAATTTTACAGATAATATGTTTAACACCTATCAGCTATTTCATTTTCTCGATGACAACCCAGCTATATCTAGGTATGTTTTGGAGCTGAGAGTACCTTGACATTTATTAATCCCTTATATTGAAAAATATTGTTCCGAGCACTGAGATTCAAACTTATGCTTTGAGGTATTTAAATCAGAGTTGCATATTGTTGTGGATGCCACAGATAATGTAAATGAATAGATAAGGCTCAGGTCATCTTGAAAAAGAGAACTATTGTTGGAGTCTGATATTCCATTATGTAACAAATCAGAAGGAGATAACCCGGTTATCTGTAACAAGAGGTAGGAGCATTTCGGTTCAACAACTAAAGGTCAAGATGGCCCCACGCCGATAATTTCTTAATCCTCTATGGACGAGGACATAAAAATGTCTCTGCGTAACGAACTTGTAATTTTTATTATTAATAAAATTATCATATTTATGAAGATGTGATGTTTTTCTCATTAAGAAAGAAATTTAAGAAAGACTATTCCACCCAAATTAAATTAACTTCTCAACTTCAGGTTATTCTCCTTATTTATAAAATTTAAAAAATCACAGACTTGTGACTTTTTTAATATAAAATATAATATTGGAACAGTTTGATAAACTACATCTTGTTTACAAATATGATAAAATAACGCACTTTTATTCCAGTAGCTCCACCTTTCTAAATAATATATATTTAAACTCGTACATTATTTTAGTAGTTAATAATGTGAACCAAAAATAAAAAGACGAATTAGCTCTAAAACTAGTCAACTTACGTTAGAATTAAAAGCTGAAATTGTAGTCTCCGAAAAAAGGACTACTTTTAAATGTATCCCAAACATTAAAAATTAATTTGTCTACTATGTATTCTATAATAAAACAAAACATCAGAAGATAGATTAGTTTTGTTTAAAAAAGTGTACAACACTAAGTAGCCAAATATCGGAGAAGTGAATACTTTTTATATTTATTATTTTGCTGTAATTAAATAATTACTTCATCTAGAACTTGTTAGGTAAGGATAGGCCGTTAGGCTTTATGCTTATGCTATCGGAGGGATTGTTTTCGAAAATACTAACGATTAAAACAAATATATTCTTTGGTATAAAGGTCCACTATTACGTGCTTAAAATTCATAATATTTTCGAAAATTGCGCACTTAGTAGCATAATAAAGGATGTCCATATTGGAGAAATCGAAATAATTGAAATAAAATTATGCACGATTGCATAATCTTAAAATCGACAATTTTCGAAAACTACACCTGATAACCTTATCAAGAACACTTACATTCAAGAAATCCAAAAAGCTGAAGAAATGCACTTATATCCGATTTTTGAGCAATTTTTTCGTTTCGTTCTTTGAGGTTCGGAAGTATTCCAGATTGTCTTCGCTAGGATTATTTAGAGCTTTTAATTTAGCGGCTTTTCTGTTTTCTCACATGCATAAGCAATCTTCATCAAACCACGGTTTGTTATTCTTATTTTCCTTTTATATCCGATTGCACCATCTTAAAATCGATTGTCGATTACGAAAATTGAGCCTTTTAGAACCGGATACAAATCTAATATAGAAAAATATTTATTTTACTAATTATAAAATAGTCCAAGCTCTACAAGAAGCAACCTCACACTGCACAGGCGGTAAAGAGGAGTATGACTATGATGATAAAATATTTGAACAATGGAAAAGTTTATTCCAGTTATTCCCAACTAACTTGATAATCTACAAATTTAAATTAAAATGGCAGAACCCGGCCGGGCGTTGCTGTGGCTCAGTCTGGTTGAATACACTAGCGGATCCAGGATTTAATTTTGGTGGGGCTTCAGCCCGAAAGATTTTTTTTTCTTATGCATATAACGATAATTAATTTGAAAAAAAAGAAAGAAATTAACTAACTATATGAAATGGTGTTTAAGTGGTTCTTGAAGTCCTATTAAATGTAATTAAACGAACAAGAATACTTTAAGAGACAGTTTTAAATATTTTTTTCAGTAAAACATGATTATATTTTACCATTTTTGGGGAGAGGGGCTTCAGCCCTAAAGCTCCCCCTCCCCCCGTAGATCCGCCTGTGGTTGAATATAAAAAGAAA